ACGAGGAGCTCTATCTGGACCTCACTGATGTTTCCAACCCATCTTCAAATATGACATCAGGCATGGGGATGACCAGGCCATGGATAACTGTTGCCTGGTGACCTCCATCCAAATGAATTCACCACTGGCCTCTCAACCGGGCCCTCCTTGCCACCTGGGCCACAAGAAACACACCTGATGGATCCAGAAATACACCTGATCTTTCAAAGGTCAGCTACCCCTTCCAGAACAGGCTGGACATTGCTTAGGTGGGCAGACTGACCACCGGCCAACCACATCTCCATCTTTTCTGGGATATACGTCAGTTCCTTGGGCCTCGTTCGTCCTCTGCTCCAGCACCTATTTAGGGCGGCCACAACCTCACCTGGGTGAGAGGAAGGGGAGGGATACATCGGGGTGCCCTCTACACATGGGTGGGACCTCTGCTCTCCTCTTCTTCCACATGTCCTCCTTTTCTCAAGCAGCAATCCTATAGGGACGGATCCAAGAGGGAACCCACGGAACCCAGAAGTAGAGGTAGAGACAGACGGGGGTAGAATTGCAGGGTGACCTGGTTACTGGCAGAGGTTTCGGTTAACAGATTTAGCCTTTGGTGCTTGGTGAGGCTTTGAGAACTGCTCCACATGTTCCTTAATGGCACAAGACAGATGTCATTTTGGGTTCCACCAATACAGACCTCCCTCCCACACAACGCCAAGGGGAAAGCTTTTAGCCTAGTTCTGCCCCCAATGCAATTATTCTTAAAGTGGAGGGAGGTTTTATTTTAAGCAATGAAAATGAAAATAAAAGCCCAAACAAGCTAGGCTTCATTTAGTTAAAAAGAGCATTTCCTGGTTTCCGGAAGGACAGGCTATAAATACAATCTCGCGTCGGCTGAATATACCCTCTGGTTCCTTCCCGCTATTCAATCTGCTACTGCTTATGGAATGAATCACATGGTGCCCACAGCCAATCAGGGATCACATGGAAAATGTGATAATGTCACAACACAGGTGTTACCAGCCCAAACAGCCTACCTCTTAGGTAAATGCCCTGGGATTAGACCTACACTGGAAATGTCTCATGCCTGTTTGCTAATATTTTTGGCAACATTGAGAAATGTTCCATATTTCATCCTTCCTCCACCTCCAAATCATGCATTATAAACTGTTATATATATTGGTTGCCTGTAATTATGTCCTCAGAGTTTTGTGACACCTCTCTGTTAATGGTGTGATCCCTGATTGGCTGGGATGACTGATATGATTAAATCAGGAAGAGGTTATCACCATGAAGGAGGTCCAGGAAGGGTATCCAAACAGTAGAGAAGGATTTGAAAAAGGGAATGTTTTCACAGTCTGTTTTTCAAGAGCATGCCACCAAAATTGCCGACCTGTTCCTCTGCATGAAGGCTGGAAAATATTTGCAATGGTTGCTTTTGGAATTCTTCTGCTACCTGGGGCAGTCCTTTCATGATCTTCCTAAGATGACAATGCATAATAAAATGGTTGCTTAAAAGAATGTGTGTTTGCATGGCTACATGGGAAAAGATTCAGGAAGGGTCTCCCAGTAAGACTGTTCCATCCTCTTTGGAGCCCTGCAAAGCAAGCCAGAAGGGGAGGTGTCTAGGGCTGGGGAAGGGGGGCCATTTTCAGAAGCTCATGCCAGGAGGAGTCAAACTGTTATCCTCAAAGTGTATGAGTCTGTCTTATGCACATCCCTTTGACATGCACATGGTAGGCAAGTCATGAGCGGAGGTGGCTGGAGCCGGGGGTCAGACTAGATGGCCTGGGGGGTCCCCTTCTGACTCGCTCTATTTCTGTTTCGCTATTTCTACTCATATGCAAGCCACCTGGATCACATTACGAAGAGACACAGGGTTCCATCTGACTTTTGGTAAAAACTATGCTGCAGCAAGCCCTCCAAAGCCACTTCTTAGCATTCTTGTGAAGTGTCGCTGTATTCTTTCAATTAGCAATGACTTCATCCCAGCAACTGATTAATTAATGCTAACAGGAGACAGAAAAACAGCCATTTATTAGGACTCTCTCCCTCTCCCAACTTTCCTTTTGTTCCACTCAGTGCTCGGACTCAGGATTAAGGTGGATTCCACCCCTGCGCTGCCCCAGAGCTGAAATGAGCAGTGGATCCGTTGTTTGCATGGTGATCCGCGTCTCTGGATGGCCAGACCTTCCTGAACTGGAAACTTTCACCTGCCTGAAGGACTTGCGGTGGATCTGGCAACATGCCCAGTTTCGCAGCTCAGGAAATCGCCACGTGCTTCTGAGACCCAGACTTAGGGGGAGGCCCTCTGGGGCCACAGCCCCCTCTCCATTCCGCTGGGGCCCCGAGCCCTGGGAGGCCACGGCCCTGCCGTCCAAGAGCGCTTGCTGAACGCAAGGTGTGGGGCCGCAGCAATCTCTGCCGCTTCAGATCCCCTGCATAGCTCCCCCAGGCTGCGTCTCCTGCTGCTCCAACTCCTCCGCCAAGGAATGGTTCAGCTGCAGCGAGGACCGCCGATCCAGCAAAGGACACCGCCAAACTGAGAACGGTCCTCTGTGGAAAGGACACTCGGCCACCCTGTGCACTGCCAGCGCTTGGTTTTCTACCTGCAAGCACGGTGAACAGCCTCCACGCGTCAAGGGAGTCCTCCAGGCTGCATCCCAAGCGGCCCGACCCGGAGGGCCGAGCCGAGTGCTTCGGATCAAGGTCTCTGCCCCCTGAAACACGGTGGCCCTGAGCGGCCACCGTGGCTGACCGAGTGGTCAAAAGCACTGCACCAGGCCGGGCTTCTTCTCAGTGGAGCAAGCTCCCCACTTAGCTCCAGCATCTTTTTGCCACTTGCTGTTCTGGGTCAGGATCCGACCGAGCCCTGGTCTAGTCCGGCCCGTCTGCTGCTCTGGACCATGACTTGTGCCACGGAGCTCTTGAAGGCACCTCGGCCGAGGTGCGCCAGAGACAGCGCAGGCGACCCTCTGGCCAGAGCGAGCCCCGTTTCTGCAGTTTCCCCCACATGCGGAACGTGGAGAGCGAGAATCCGCCACCGTTTCCTCTTTTGTGCTTCTTGGGAAATGGCTCTGAGATGGAAGGTGGCTGATCATGGGCTTGTGGCCTTGGGGGAGGGCAGCTTTCTTTCTTTCCAGGATCCCCACATTTTACTTCTACACAGCTGGGAGCCGCAGCTCTCTGTGCAGCTCACGGCAACTCGCAAAACATCGGCAACACCCACAATAACAAAAACACGGCACCCTTCCAGCACGCTGCAGTTAAAAACAATCTGACAGCAGAAAAATGTTAGTGCAAAGGGGACCTGTTCAGAAAGCCTGGCAGAAAAGCTCCATCATGCCACGGAAGATGCTAAAACGCCGGGGAGAGGGGGGACCACCTTAACCTGGCCCCCACGAGATGGCAGAGGCTCAACAGCATTCTACAATCGGGGGCCAGCGCTGGCAGGGCTGTTGCTACCCTGGGGGGCTTGCCATTTAGGATGCGATGCGAATCCCTTCAGCAGGCAGAACGGGATGCCTTGTTTTAAAAAAGCCCTTTCGAAAACACTTTTGTTTTCACGGGATTTAGGCTGGGGGCTCTGGTGGGGTTATGCTCCTTGGAGGCCCTTGCTCTCTGGGTGGCGAAAAGTGGTTTTTGCCCTGTAAAGAGCAGCTGTCGGAGCTGACAAGGTACGAGAGCCGACACACCCCCTCCTTCTCGCTCTCTTCGTGCATCTGGTGCCAATTTCTAAAAGCTTGAAATAGAAATTAAGCGGAGCGACTGGGGCAGCCTCTCCCCCGTTGTGGAAAGAGGGGGCTGGTTAATTCGGCGCTCGGTGCACCGGCCCCCATCCCGCAAGAACATTCTCTCTCCCACCCCAGAGGTAGGAAAACACACCTGTGCCCAGGTGGAATGGGCTCGGCAGCAGCATCGTGAGATGCAGAGAGGTCAGGTGGAGGTTTTGTGGGGCTTCGTAGAAGCATGGTGGAACGGGGGCCGCGACGGGAGTTGGGCCCCAAAGCATCTTCCTGGGAAAAGCTACCAAAAGGCACAGGAGCAGGGCTGGCGGAAAGGGCCGGAAAAACCCGTGGTCGAAAGCTGGTGCTTGTGTGGGGCGCACCGTGTGTGCCTCGAACTGGGCAGTGCGGAACGCTGCTGAAAAAACAGCATGCCAGCCAAGAGTTAATTATTCTGCATGCTTCGTTAATATGCATTAATATTATGCATCACTGTTCTTGCTATTTGGTGTTTGGCTCTAGTTTTAGCTGCAGTCCCTTCTTTTGAGCCCTCTGGGCCAGGAGAAGAAATCCTGGCATATTTTGATGGCTGTTGTTCTTCCAAATCGTGTGATGCAATTGTTCTGTTTTTAAAGTTTAGCATTTATTTATTTTTTTGCAAGTTCTGGGCGACATGGTGTTTTGCATGTTAGTGTGTTTATTTTTGTGACAGGAGCCACTGCAAAAGTCTGATCATTTCATTTCACCTTAATTTATGTTTTATTGCATTTTTATTATTTATTTTTATTGATTACTATACTTCTTGATTTTCTTGTTACTAGTAGTTTTACTGTAATGGCAGATTTTATTGGATTGTTGTAAGTTGCACAGAGAAACTTAGGGTTTCTGAGGCAGCACAGAAATCAAATCAAATCAAATCAAATCAAATCAAATCAAATCAAATCTCAATAAATAAACAGTGGCAAAGAAATTACTTTGCATTTATGCTTGTGTTTCTGCCTTCAAGGAGGTTTGCATTGCGTTTCTCCTCTCTGTGCTATTCTCACAACAGCCCCGCAAAGCAGGCTAGGCTGAGAGCCAGGAACTGTTCAAGCATCACCAAGTGAGCCTCAGGGCAGAGTGAGGGCTAGACGCCCGGCTTTCCCAAAACCCAGTCCAAGACTCTAACCACTACACCACACAGCCTTTCAAGATCCCTAGCGAAAACAGAAGATCAGCGGGGAACTGCTAATCCTGTGGCAGCGCGGCCTTCCCTTGGCGCTTCCTGGAGGGCTTCGCTGGGACGGACTCACCCACCTTGTCCCTTGGGTCCTCTGGCTTTCAAGTGCCGCTCACATCTGGCCTTGGCTTTTAGCAGCAGGAAAATCTGCTCCTCTTTTGTCAACACATCATCAGCATCCACCTGCAGGGGAACAGAGCGGCTGAGATTAAAATCACGGAGAGATTCACTGCCAGGTTGACAAAGATGGGCTCAGGGAACGGTGCAACCAAGGAAGGGCGCTCAGCTTTGTATGAGCCAGCGTGGAGCATTGGTTAGGAGCGCAGGGCTGGGACTCAGGAGATCCGGGTCCGGGTCCCCACTCAGCCATGGAGACCACTGGGTCACTCACTCTCAGCTCAGCCTACCTCACAGGGTTGCTGTTGTGGGGATAAGATGAAGAACAGCAGGAAGAGGCACTTTGGCATCAGCAAGAAGAGATCTTGACCCTCCTCTTGGTGACAGCCTTTGAGATCCTTATAGAGGGATCTCATGTTCCCCCTCAGCCTTCTCTTCTCAAGGCTGAACATGCCCAGTTCTCCCAATCTCTCCTCACAGGGCAGTTTCCAAACCCTGGATCGTTTTTGTTGTCCTCCGCTGGACCCTTTCTAATTTACCTGCATCTTTCTCAAATCTTGGTGCCCAGCCTTGCAAGCCAAGAGGGAGTCTGAAAATGCTCATGGAATGAAGCTTGTGCAACCGGCAAACCTTCTTCCGCCTCAGGTGCGGCAGCAAGAGAGACCTGCTGCCCGCGGCACGGAAGAGGGCTTCCAGTCACGCCAGGCATGGGGCTTGATCCCCGGCCCAGCAGGTGCTGGGTGCCCCCACCGGGAACATGGGCTCAGGGCCGTGACAACGTGGCCTGGGATCCAGGGAGCAGAGAGCCCAGGGAATCCGACAGGTTCCCAGCACCAATATGGATTCCTCCAGACCTGGCTATTTTAGCGCACCTGCGCATTTGTGCAGTAAGGCTGAGATAGGCCCCATCATGCTGGGTTTTTCTTCTATAGAATTTTACGAAATGATACACAAATTATGCTTCTGTTGACAGTTCCCCCCAGCCCCTCGCAACCCCTATTAAGGTGCGGGTCACATGCAAATCTGTCCCAAAGCTGACAGCAATCAAACAGGGAAAGGGCAGATAAGCAATCAACCATAATGCTTTAATTGAATGGCAGTCCTTCATGAATATTTATAAATCATGTTAATGAGAGAGGAGCCTGCCCTCCTTCCACCTGGTCACCCCTACCTCGCACGGAGCTAAACGGGCATCTTATGCCTTGGTGAACAACGCAGAAGTTGCCAGAAGCGGGAATTAACTTCCCGAACTGGAGGCAAATGGTGCGGAGTCGAAGGGGAGGTTGGGAAGGGCTCCTTGCAAAGCGCTTCTCATATCGGCGATCCTTTGGGATGCACAAGGAGACAAGATCACAACACCTGCTTTGGGGATGGTCTGCCATGGGGGGAAACCTGAGAAGGGGCAGAGCAGGCCATCACCCCACTGAGGTTTGTGTCCGGGGGTGCTTCGTCAGCTGATTGTTCATGCAACACCGGCTTTCTGCGAGATGCTCGTCCGGGCCCCACAGGAAATCCCACAGAGCTCTTGCAGAAGAAAGGAAGGCACGCTTGCAAAATCGTTCCGGGCCGCACCTTGCAGTGAGCTCCGGGGGAGGGCAGCCCTTCCCGCGAGGGCACGATTCGCAGCTCTCCGATCCCCTCGGGGGCTCAGAGGGGCGCGTGTGCAGTGGCCCATTTCCCTCGCAACGACTCCGGGAGCCACGCTGGATTCAACGGAGGTCCAGTCCCAGTCCAGTACTCCTGGGCTCAGCTCCTGGCCCGGCGCGTCGTCTGCCGCGCAGCATCCCGGTTTTATTTGCAGAAGAATGGGGGAAGACTCTAAAGCTACAGCACACTGCAGAGGCAGGGGTAGTGATGAGCCCTTGGGCTGAGGACCCACATCTTTCATGGGTGGGGGAGGCGCTCGGATTGCTGAGAGGCCACCTCCCTCACCTAGCTGCCCATGGGACCTACAGAAACCAAGGTACGGGCCCCTGAGGGTCTCTGGCTGTATCTCAGCCCTGGGTGAGCTGTGCCCCTGGGTGCGTCCTTCTGCCTGAGGCTTTATCCTGAAACGAAGGGCCACCCTCTCTGTCCCTTTTGCAGAGGGGTGTCCTAGCGAGACCTGCTCCTTTGGGACGCCAGGGAGAGACTGGGCAATGTCTGAAAACTAGCATGGCCACCTTTGCATGCCCTTCCTTGTGGGCTGGATTCCCAGGCCTTCTGGGCACCCAGCACGGCCCCAACCGCTCGTGCGTGTAGGGTCCATCGGCCTGCAGGGTCCTGGAAGGCCCCCATTAAGTAATAGCCGCCTCTCTCGTTTGCTGCCACGGGGAGCCCTTTTAATAGCCGCTCGGATAAATATAGCCCAAGGCAACAGCTGAAGCTGGTGGCTTCTGAGGGCCACCTCTCTTTTCTGCCGCCTCCAAAATACCAGTGGGGGTAAAAATATGAGGCCCCCGTGCCTTGAAATCGGCCCGTCTGCCACTAGAAATTCCGTCTTCCATATGGCCTCTTCCCTCCATCAACAGCACCCCAGCTAATTCCCAAAACAAACATTGTCCTTCGGATGCTGGAGAAGGAGGGTCCCTGCCAGATCCAGTCCTTCTGAGAGCGAGGAGCTGGGGGGGGGGGTTATGCGGCCCACCCGGGGAAAGCGTCTGAGCCGATCTGGCCCTTCCTGGACCGAAACGCCGGGTGAATTTCACCGCGGGGATTTTGTGACGGGGTGCTAGGCTCAAGAAGCAGCCCTTTTAGGCGAAGACGCATTCAAAAATGGGACCTTGGGGAGAAAGCAGTTGAGCAAGGCATATTTTAAAGGCAAAGGCAAAGGCATGCATGCATAAATAAATAAAATGCACATCCAGAACTGGTGCTGGGCAGAGAGCAAAGTGTTGGCCTGGGCTTTGGTGCCTCTGGCTTTCTCCTGTAACCCCCTGCAATCTATGATTATTATAGTATTTTGCATTTATTTATTGATTATTTATTTAAAACTTTTTCTAGACCGTCCCATTACCGAAGTCTCAGGATGGTTTAACAATACAAAATGTAATTTTTAAAATAAAACACAGTGTCCTAAAATGCAACTCATAATAAAGCCCCACTTAAAACAGTCAGGTCTTAAAACTTTGGGAAAATAAAAAGGTTTTGGCCTGGCGCCGAAAAGAATAAAGTGACAGCGCCAGGCGAAACTTTCTAGGAAGCGAATTCCATGATTGGGGGCCACCACAGAGAAGGCCCTTCTCTGGGTAGCCACCCTCCTAATCTCCTTCAAGGAGGGCACCCGGAGAAGGGCGTCTGCCCCAGATCTTAAGGGCCGGGCAGGCACATATGGAAGGAGATGATCCTTCAGGTAACCAGGTCCTAAGACATTTAGGGCTTCCCAGGTCATCACCAGTACCTTAAACTGGGCCCGGGCTTCGACTGGGAGCCAGTGTAGGTGGAAAAGGACCGGCGTTGTGTGTTCATACTGCCGGTCCCTGTTAACAACCTGGCAGCTATGCTGGACCAGCTGAAGTATCCGGACCGTCTTTAAGGGCAGCCCCATAGAGCGCATTACAGCAGTCCGATCGGGAAGTTACCAGAGCATATCCCACCTCCTTCCTTCTTATGAAGAAAAGGACTTCTGTTGTCTTTCAATCCCTTTTTTGCCTCACAACAACCCTGTGAGGTAGGCTAGGCTGAGAGCGAGTGCCTGGCCCAAAGTCCCCCAGTGAACTTCAAGGCCGAGGAGAGATTTGAACCAGCATCTCCCAGATCCCAAGCCCCACTCCGACTGCCAAGCTCCTCTCACCCCGAAGCCATTCCAAGCTCGCTTAGGCTGCTGCTGAGAGGATAAAGTAAGGAGGAACAGAAGTTTTACAACTGTGTGGCTTTGATTACTGGCTTTTCAAATTTTATTGCTCTCTCAATTGTCATTTTTAGTGGTATTTTCACTGTGTATTTCTAAACTTCGCAACCCACCCAGAGAGCCTTAAGGCTAATGGGGCGGGATAAAAATCTAATAAATAAATATAAAGAAGCCTTGTGAACCAGCCTGGATTCTTGCAAAAGGGGAAAAAAGCTGGCCCGAAATGTAGCATAGCCAGACTGCTGCTGATAACACTTCAAACATGCAGTCAAAGGCACCTTTAATTGTGTGCATGAATAAGACTTCGTGCCTCGATTAAAGAAAATCACAGACTGAAGCTGAAGCACGAAGGAACAGATTTAAACATGAACAGATCCAAAAGTGATGGAGCAACGAGACTGACAGACCAGTCCTGTCCTACGTGCTGGAGATGACCCAGCCCCCCGGAGTCCACCTAAGCTCACACCGACTGCCCCAGGGACCCCATCCAGCCCCCTCATCCTCTGCCGTCCCCTCCTTCTTTTGCCATCTATTGCTCCCAGCATCAGGCTCTTCTCCAGGGAGTCCTTCCTTCTCATTAGGGGGCCAAAGCATTTGAGCTTCAGCTTCAGGATCTGGCCTTCTAAAGAGCAGTCGGGGTTGATCTCCTCTAGGACTGACCGGTTTGGTCGCCTTGCGGTCCAAGGGACTCGCAGAGTCTCCTCCAGCACCACAATCCAAAGGCCTCAATCCTTCGGCGCTCAGCCTTCCTCATGGTCCAGCTTTCACAGCCATACATTGTAACTGGGAAAACCATAGCCTTGACTATACGCATTTTTGTCGGCAGGGTGATGTCTCTGCTTTTTAGTGTGCTGTCTAGATTTGCCATAGCTTTCCTCCCCAGGAGCGTCGTTTAATTTCTTGGCTGCAGTCCCCATCTGCGGTGATCTTGGAGTCCAGGAAAATAAAATCTGTCACTACCTCCCATTGCTACAAAGATAATTAATTGGCCACTGACACATGCATTTGGACATATGAGAGAGCCAGTGTGGCGTAGTGGTTAAGAGCAAGGGACTGGGACTCAGGCGATCCGGGTTCGAGTCCCCGCTCAGCCATGGAGCCAACTGGGTGACTTTGGGCCAGTCACAGACTCTCAGCCCTACCTACCTCACAGGGTTGTTGTTGTGGGGATAAGAAGGAGGAGGAGAATGATGTAAGCTGCCTTGAGCCCTTTGTAGGAAAAAGGCAGGATATAAAT